TTGGTCGATTGAAAATTTTGTTCTCGAAATTCAACCATTCGCTGGAACTCTAGTATTTTTGTCTGACCATATTCGATCTCATTCCCGCTCGCCATCTTAATCTGAGCTCGATCGGGTAAATATTTCTGCAAAAAAGCATCGGGGCGGGATCGGCTGTTTCGAGTCATCTTGAGACGCGTTGTGGGCATTGTGTACTTAACTCGAGCTGTAGGGCAACTACAGAGGTGATTCTCGCAGAAATCGATTGCGAATGATCAGGCGCGCTCGTCTGTTCCATCTAGAGCTCTGAACTCGGTCTGCTCCCCGAGCTAGGTTCGCGAAACTATTTGTGTTGTTGGAGTCATCTTGAGAGGTGCTGACAGTTGTCTGCACTTAACTCGGGCTGTAGGGGGGCTACAGGGCTCGTACTCACAGGAATCAATCCAGAGACATCAGGCGCGGCCGCCTGCCGAATCCAGAGCTGGGAACTCGGTGTACTGCCCGAGCTAGCTTCGCAAAACTATTCGTATTCGTCGAGTCATCTTGAGAGGTGCTGTCCGTTTTCTGCACTTAACTCGAGCTGTAAGGGGGCTGCAGGGCTGGTAATCACTGGGATCGATTCCGAGACATCAGTCGCGTCCATTCGTCGCATTCAGAGCCCTGAACTCGGCCTGCTGCCCGAGCTAGGTCCGCGAAACTATTCGTATTATTCGAGTCATCTTTAGAGATGCTGTCGATTTGCTGCACTTAACTCGGGCTGTAAGGGGGCTGCAGGGCTGGAAATCACATGAATCGATTCCGAGACATCAGGCGCGTCCGCCCGTGCATTCAGATGTCTGAACTCGGTCTGATACTCGAGCTAGATTCGCGAAACTATTTGTATTGTTCGAGTGATCTTGAGAGGTGCTGTCGATTTTCGCGCGTAACTCGGGCTGTAGGAGAGCTACAGAGCTCGTGCGCACAGAAAACGATCCAGAAGCATGAGGGGCGTTTGGCTGTTGCATCGAGAGGTCTGAAATCGTTTAGGCTGAAAAACTAGTCGTTCTCTACAATTTTTTCCGACATTATATATGCTCAGGAAGCTCTACGAGTCCCCCGGCGGTAAGGAAGGTTGACGGTTTACCGCCGGCGCTTAGTTCCGGCGCACTGGAGAGCTAGTTGGCAAGAAAAATCTCGACGGAACTTTTGCTGACTTTTGCTCGGTTGAAGATTTTGTTCTCGAAATTTGACAATTCGTTTGAGCTCTAATATTTTTTCCCGTGATATTCGATCTTATTACCGCTCGCCATCTTGATCTCAGCTCGATCGGGTGAATATTACTATCGAAAAGCACCGTGGCGGGATCGGCCGGTTCGAGTCATCTTGATACGCGCGGACGGTTTTGTGAACATAACTCGAGCTTTAGGACAGCTACAGAGCTGGTAAGCACAGCTAATCGATGTAGAATGATTAGGCGCGTTCGCCTGTTGAATCCAGAGGTCTGAACTCGGTCTGTTAGCCGAGCTAGGTCAGCAAACCTATTCGTATTATTCGAGTCATCTTGACAGAAACTCTCGGTTTTCTGTACTTAACTCGAGCTGTAGGACAGCTACAGAGCTGATATTACAGACACCGATTCAGAATCATCAGTTGCGTGTGTCTGTCGAATCCAGAGCTCTGAACTCAGTCTGCTGCCCGATCTAGAATCGCGAAACTATTCGTATTGGTCGAGCAATCTTGAGAAGTGCTCTCGGTTTTCTTCACTCAACTCGCGCTGAGGGGGGCTACAGTGCTTGTTGTCACATGAATCGATTTGAAGACATCAGGCGCGTCCGCCTGTCGAATCCAGAGCTCGGAACTCGGTCTGCTGCCCGAATCAGGTCTGCGAAACTACTGTATTGTTCGAGTCATCCTGAGAGGTGCTGTCGGTTTCCTGCACTTAACTCGGGCTGTAGGGGGGCTGCAGGGCTGGTAATGACAGGAGTCGATTCGCAGACATCAGACGCGTCCGCCTGTCGCATTCAGAGGTCAAAAAATATTCACTATGAGTCGGAATGTTGGTAGGTGCTGTCGGTTTTCTCAACTTAAGTCGAGCTAGGAAGCTCTACGAGTCTCCCGGCGGTAACCAAGGTTGACGGTTTACCGCCGGCGCCCAGTTCCGGCGCGGGGCGGAGCTAGTTGGTCGACCCGGCCCGGGCGGACAAATTTATGACTTTTGGTCGGTTTTGCGAAAATTTGAAAGATATTTAACCCTTTTATTTTGAGAAAGCAGATTTTTGCGCGTCGCATTGGCATATAAACTCCTCTCTGACAGCAGCTCAGCTCTCACGATGTATTTCCTTGAGAGTTCACTTCCCGGAACTGAGCGAATATGAACATCGGAGAAATCGAAAATCAAGATTTTCGAAAAATCTCTGTTTCATGTCTGTATTTTGATCCTCAGCACTCTTATCAGTGTACGGAGCTCTACGAGGTTCCCGGCGGTGACTAGGTTGACGGTTCACCGCCGGCGTCAGTGGTGACGTTGGGTCGGTTTTGCTCAGGTTTGAAAGATCTTCGATAATTCATTTGAGAAAACAGATTTTTACGCCGAGCATTGGGATATGAACTTTGTTCCCTGAGCAGCTCAGCTCTCTGGAGCCAGTTTTAGTGACTCGTAGAGCTTCCCTTAGCAAGGTATTGCTGGAAGCTTAAGAGTAATTCCGGGGCGCTGGAGAGCTAGTTGGCAAGAAAAATCTCGACGGACCTTTTGGTGACTTTTGGTCGGTTGAAAATTTTGTTCTCAAAATTCAACCATTCGTTAGAGCTCTAGTATTTTTTCCTGTGATAGTCGACCTTATTACCGCTCGCCATCTTGAGCTCAGCTCGATCAGGTACCTTTTACTGCCAAAAAGCGCCCAGGCGGGATCGGCCGTTTCGAGTCATCTTGATACGCGGTGACGGTTTTCTCAAGATCTAGCTTCAGGACAGCTACAGAGCTGGCAAGCACAGCTAATCGATTCAGAATGATCAGGCGCGTTCGCCCGTTGAACCCAGAGCTCTGGACTCGGTCTGCTAGCCGAGCTAGGTCCGCAAACCTATTCGTATTATTCGAGTCATCTTGACAGACGCTCTCGGTTTTCTGTATTGAACTCGAGCTACATGACCGCTACAGAGCTGATACGTACAGAATCTGATTCAGAATCATCAGTGGCCGTTGTCTGTTGAATCCAGAGCTCTGAACTCGGTCTGCTGATCTAGAACCGCAAAACTATTCGTACTGTTCGAGTCATCCTGAGAGATGCTGTCGGTTCTCTGCACTTAACTCGGGCTGTAGGGGGCTGCGTGGCTGGTAATCACTGGAATCGATTCAAAGACATCAGGCGCGTGCGCCTTTCGAATCGATAGCTCCGAACTCTGTCTGCTGCCCGAACTAGGTCCGCGAAACTATTCGCATGGTTCGAGTCATGCTGAGAAGTGCTGTCGGTTTCCTGCACTTAACTCGGGCTGTAGAGGGGGCTGCAGCAGGGCTGGTAATCACATGAATCGATTCAGAGACATCAGACGCGTCCGCCTGTTGCAATCAGAGGTCTGAACTCGGTCTGATACTCGAGCTAGGTTTGGCAAACTATTCGAGTTGTTCGAGTCATCTTAAGAGGTGCTGTCGATTTACGCACGTAACTCTGGCTTTTGGAGAGCTACAGAGTTCGTACAGAAGACAATCCAGAAGCATCGGGGACGTTCGGCTGTTGCATCCGAGAGGTCTGAAATTGCTTGGGCTGAAAAATATTTTGTCTGCGCAATGATTTTCGACATTATACGTTGTCAGGAAGCTCTACGAGTCCCCCGGCGGTAAGAAAGGTTGACGGTTTACCGCCGGCGCCCAGTTTGGGTAGTTTTGCGAATATTTGAAAGATATTTGACCATACCTTTTAGAGCTCTTCGGCATCGATGAGCTAGAGGAATTCCGGCGCGGGCTGGGGCTAGTTGGCCGACCCGACCAGAAAGGACAATGTGACAACTTTTGGTCAGTTTTGCTAAGATTTGAAAGACATTTGACCATGTATTTCGAGAAAGCAGATTTTTCGCACCTGTAAACGACTATGAGGGTCTCTGCGTCTTGATATTAGCTCCGCAGGCACACACTCACTATCAAAACACTTGGGGGAACCAACTTCATCTCGACATGAAAAAACTCAATATTCATTTTTTCGAGAAATGCCTCCAGGAGCTCTCTCTTTCGTCTCTGATCACTCTTATGCGTGGCAGGAGCTCTACGAGGATGCCGGCGGTGACCAGATCGACGGTTCACCGCCGGCGCCAGTTTATTTTGAGAAGGCAGATTTTTACGCCGAGTATTGGCATACCATGAGCTTCCTATCTGCGCGCTGATTAGTTTCCAATCGCTAATTAGCGCAGATACGTATATGAATATGTATTAATTAGCGCTGTCAATCCTAATTAGCGAGTAGTCAGCTCTAAAATTAACGGGCGCGCGCTAATTAGCAAGTATACGCGCTAATCATAGCTTGTTGAATTAGCGAGTAGCACGCGTTAATTAGCGCGCGTGGTTTAGCGCGGACGACGTCGCTTTCGACCACTCGCGCGCTTTTTTTTCGCCTGTATAACCGTGAGCGCGGTGCCGAAGACCGCGATGTTTATCCATGCCCATAAATATAATTCCCACGAAGACACGCATGCAAGAACACAGGGCCAGCAGAGAGAGAGAGAGAGAGAGAGAGAGAGAGAGAAGAAACGAGGACATATAAATAAAGAGCAGGACAACCAAGAGAGAGAGAGGCAGAGAGCCAGGGGGGGTCATTCGCAGCCGCCTTCACAGGCGGCTCTTTTTTTTTTTTTTTTTTTTTTTTTTTTTTTTTTTTTTTTTTTTTTTTTTTTTTTTTTTTTTTTTTTTTTTTTTTTTTTTTTTTTTTTTTTTTTTTTTTTTTTTTTTTTTTTTTTTTTTTTTTTTTTTTTTTTTTTTTTTTTTCTTTTTTTTTTTTGTTTTTTTTTTTTTTCCGCAGCAGCGCTATCGCACGCGAACCAAGGGCTCCATGCGGAACCTGTCCATAACATTGGCAGAGAAGGCCTTTGTGGTCATCGGGGCGCCACGCCTCCGTGAGATCCTGCTGACGGCCCCTCCAAAATCCTCGTCGCGGTAAGTCCAATTAGCTTTCGGGTCAGATTCCTGGGCGAGGTGCACGAAAAGATGGAGTTTGGGCTTGCACCTGAAGAATGCAGGGTGTCGCTGTGCGAGTGCGTCGTACAGGAGCACGAAGCGGTTGCCGTTCGTCGCCATGGTGCCCCTCCTGAAAATAACAATTGTCCGCAAGGCCTCGTAACAATTATGGGGGTGGTTCGTCGCTGCGAGAATTGTCTGCTCCAGTTCGCTGCCACCGCTGAACAGTCTGTTGCATTCCTCCCACGCCCAACCCTCCGGGGCCCTGCACACGCCCGCCATGGCCTTTAGTTTCGGGGCGCTCCTGCGGCTTGCCTTTTTGATCATCAAGAGCGTCAGTTTGTGGAGCCTGTCGCACGTCTTGTTCCTGTCGTAATAGGCTTGGATTGACGACCACATCCCGTTGAGGCGTTCGGCCCGATTCCCGCCGCCATAGTAGTTGCTGTCACTTAGAAGGAACCACATCACTGATCCGAACCAATCCAAAGCAACGCCCTGGTCCACACAACGCAACCAATCCACTCGAAACAAGGAAAGGTCATCCACGCAGGGCGCCGACAACAACGGCGACGGCACGCACCCGTTGCGCATGTTCCGAAGGATAAGTTCAGATTTGGGCAGCTGCGTCCTCCGCCATGGCGCGCCCTCCCGCGCGTCGCCAACCTGCGGGGGAAACCAATGCACGTAATCAGCCGCCTTCCGCGGCGCCCCGCCCACAACGCCAACCCGCCCCCCAGCCCCGAGGGCAGAGAAACGGGCTGGGAGGGCGCGGGCGGAAGGAAGGAAGCAATTCACGGTCAAACCGTGGGGCGCGGCGCCTGATCGGGCGCGCGCGCGCGCAGCCAGCAACAGCCGCCCCCCTCGTTCCAAGCAGGGAGCCCGAACGTGCATTTGTGGCTCGCCCAATCTCCTCTGACACCCACCAGAACACCCCGGAAGCCCAACGGTTTGTTGGAGCGACGCTTGCGGTACGAATCTGTCGCTTGCCAAGCGGCGCCATCGTGCCGACATGGCGGAAAGGCACCGCGTGCCATTGCCGAAAGCGACCACCGCACGATCTCCATGCAGTCGTTGTACGCGTTTGAACTCATGCGGGATTTGGGAAAAGCTGCCACAGGAACCCGCAAAGTCGAGTTGTCACCACTCAGCCCTGGAAGATTTACTTGAACGAGTTCGACTGAATCGCTCCTGTCGAAATTGTTGGGCACGCCATCAGTCCAGAGACCTACGGGTAAAAGGGTCTCTGCGCCCATCGCCGCCTGGCATCGCAACATCTGTGTTTTCGCCTCGACGTCCAAACCTTTCGTATCAAAGAATTTCGTCTCATCCGAGTATGAATATATGACTGAAAACATTTCGCGCGGCAGCAACAAACACATATCTGAACGCACTTCTCTGTTCAATTTCGGGTTCCACGTTCTCACCTTGGCCATGTATGTCGGCGGCCACTTGCACGCCTTCAGGAAATTCCTCTTCAAATCTCTGGCGGTGTTCTTGCCTTCGCCGCGTCGCACCGCGGCGGTGGTGAAATCGCCGAATTGACCAGGGAGCAATTGGCCAAGCGGTGCCAAGGAATCATGCCCGAGTTCCCGTGCTGACTGCCTGTTTTCGAGAAAAGAATCCCTGATGGCGCCGCGCAGGCGTTTCGACGGGGAACCGTCGCCCTGCCTCGCCCACGATTGGCGCTTCTTCCCCTTGAGCATGGGTTCACCCCCAAAGCGGCGTGGACAAGGAAGAGGCCTGAGCAGACGGCTACGGATCAGAAGAACCAGCGAGCGACAGCTGGATTGCCCGTCCCCCCTGGTCTTGTCGACGCGGCCAGCGCCGCGCATCCCGCCCCTCTCTGCCAACGCCAATGTCACGCTATGCCTTCTCCATCGTCTCCCCGCCCTCCTCAAACCCCCACTGTTCCTCCTCCTCCTCCTCCTCTTCCTCCTCCTGCTCCACTACATTCTCTTCCTCCTCCTCCTCTTCTTACCTCCTCCTCCTCCTCCAGCTCGTCCTCCGTCCTTCCCGCCCCCCCCCGCCCCTCCTCCTCCTCCTCCTCCTCCTCGTCCTCTTCCTTCTCCTCCCCCATCTCCCTTCCTCCTTCTCCTCCTCCCCCCCCTCCTCCTCCTGCTCGTATTCCTCCTTTTCTTCCTTCTCCTCCTCCTCCTCCTCCTCCACAATTACACAATATGAATACTACTCTCCCACTTCCCCTGATGGCGTCCGGAAGATGTTCGGCACCCCCCCGCGTCCTGTTTTTTTACACACAGGATTCCCCGGAATTGGGTTTTCGCTTGTGTTTTTTTTTCTAAAATGCTGCTCTCGCTGAGGCGCTGGCCTAATTTTCGGGTTCCCGCTCCTTCCGAATCGCGTTCCCGCTGCAGCGCTGGCGTCATTTCCGCGCTCCCGCTCGTTCCGAATCGTGCTCCCGCTGCAGCGTTGGCCCAATTTCTGCGCCTCTCGTCGTTCCAAAACGTGCTCCCGCTGCAGCGCCGACGTTTTCGATCCTTTTTAAGAAGCCCCAAATCTAGAAAATGATCCCCGGCAAAAACATTGGAGGTGATTACACATCCGGTGTCGATTCGTTGATTTATGGGGCCGCAGAAAGCCCCCCCCCTTTTGGGCGGCGTCCTGTTCCGCACAGGATTCCCGGGAGTTTGGTTTTCATCTATGTTTTTGAAAATCCGAGTCTTTCCGGTCCTTCAGAATGTTGCTCCCGCTGCAGCCTTCGTCCTATTTTCCGCGCCGCTGGTCGTTCCAAATCGCGCTGCCGCTGCAGTGCAACGGTCCCCGGCCCCATGCTATGATATGCTCCGCTCCAGTGGCGTTTTTCGGCTCTTCAACAATGGTGTTCCCGCTGCAGCGTTGGTCCCATGTCTGCGCCTCTGCTCGTTCCAAATCGTGCTGCCGTATTGTTTTCTTGGCACGACGGCACTCTTCGGCTCTTCAACATGTCGCTCCCGCTGCAGCGTCGGTCCCATTTCTGCGCCTCTGGTCGTTCCAGATCGTGCTGCCGCTGCAGCGCATGCGTCCCGCGTCCCATGCTATGACATACTACGCTCAGCATTGCTCTTCTGCGCCAATCTATGACATGCTACGCTCTGCAGTGCTATGGCATGCTACGCTCTGGGCTCCATCGCTGGTACTTTCAAGTGTGCTCTCGCCTTAGCGCCTTTCCCCTTTGCGGCCTATCTTACACATAATCCGCTTCCGACCCCCCTGATCCTTTTCCACCTCTTTCTTGTTCCTCCTGATCCCCCCCAACCTCCTGATCCTTTTCTCCCTCCGCCTCCTCTTGTTTCGCCAGCCGTGTACCCCGACAGCGAGTATAGGGACCCCGTTGGTTTTCAGTATCCCTGGAATCTGGTTTCGTTCGCCCTGCACCCTGCGGTCGTCGTTTTTTTCGACGTTGTCGTGTTTGTTTCGATGCCTCACTACGCAATGCCACAACCCGCTATGACATGCTACGTTCTGCAGTGGTTTTCTACGCCACGCTATGGCATGCTACGCTCTGTAGTGCTATGACATGCTACGCTCTGGGCTCCATCGCTGGTGCTTTCAATTGCGCTCTCACCTGGGCGTCCTTCTCCTTTGCCCCCTACCTCTACCATTACTCAATATGAATGCACTTGCACAACTCTGACATCGGACCCACTCTACCATTACCCAATATGAATGCTACTCTCCTTTCACCCCTGCAGAAATTTGAAATCCGGGTGGGGGGCGCGCGTAACGGCAGCGGGCAGCTGGCGCGGGTGCCGCTCCGGCGCGGTCGCGTCGTCGTCGTCGTCGTCTTCGTCGCCGGTCGCCCTCATCGTCGTCGTCGTCGTCGCCGCCGTCGTCGTCGTCGTCGTGGTTGTCGTCGTCGTCGTCGTCTTCGTCGTCGTCGTCTTCGTTTTCATCGCGCCGTCGTCCTCCTCCTTTCCCTCTTAGGTAACAGGGTCAGATGCGAAGCCCGATTCGGTGAGAGGACAATGAAGTAGCTCAATGGGAAGGGATGGGAGGGAGGGGTAGGATGTCAGATGTTGACGCGAGCGCACCTAGCTTGTCCTCCCCCCACCCCCCCCCCCCCCCCCGCCCCTTCCTCCTCCTATCGTCGCGATTATGTTCTCGGCGGCGCCGCCTCCTATACAGGAGGCGTTTTTTTGGAAGGTCGGCAGGGGGTCTTTTTTCTGGCGGCAGCGGCGGCCATGCCGGAACACCTCTCCGCGGCGCGGCGGGCAGATACGGAAAATATGGGAAATATTTATATGGAAATATGGAAAATACGAAGGAGCACAACATGACACGCTGCATCGCTCTAGCATCGGGGCACCAAGACGTAGACGCTTGAAAGAAGCAGCGCAATCTGCGCGCTCAGACATCGCACCCCTGTGAACAACCGACTTCACGACGCCGCTTCGAAATGGCGCTCCCGACGCTTTTTCCCCTCCTTGAAGCCCGCCATGCGTTGCTCACCCGCCTTCTTCGCATTCTGCAGCCGCTCGGTGATCTTCAGCACGGCGTCGTCGTCATCCGACGCATCCACGGACGCAGCCTCTGCGAGCAAAATCTCCGCGTCCTCGAGAAATGCTGCCAGGAGTTTCTGCGCCATGCCAATCTCGGTCTCGTGCTGCTCGTAGTGGCCGCCCTTCTTGCGCAGCATCGATGCTTTCGCCTTCAGCTGCAGGAGGGCGCCCTGGTTCTTGCGCAGCGTGGCCAAGATAGTCCTGCAAGGAGAGGTTGGCGAAGGGGGGGCATGAATGGAGATGAGAAGGGTGATGGGGGGGCATGAGTAGGGGGGAGATGGTCCTGACGGGATGCAGCTCCTTCTTCAGTGTCTCGATGGCCACTGACTCCACGATCGCGCCACGCGAAGAAGAAGATGCGCTCCCAGGGGCATCGGTGATCTTTTTGAGGGCGGAAACCGAGCTCAACATGTTTTTCCTCTCGTCGGTGCTGGTCATGGTCTTCGTCATGTTCCTGTAGTAGTGCTGCGACAATAGCGGCTCCTCTTCGTCGATGACACAGTGTGTTCTCGCCATCTGAGGGCCCAGGCCAAGAGCGATGTAATTTTGTTCTACCAAGCGAATGCACGCATCGCTGGCGCGCTGCTGTTGCGCCTGATCCATGGTGAACACGTTCGCGTGGATGCCGTTGAACTCCAGGATTTTCGCCCTGGGCAACGTTAGGAATCATAGCGCGCCGACAACAGACGCCCAAAAATGATTGATTCATGCCGGAGGGGTGCGGTTTGCTTATCCACTTTCTCTGGCTTTTTGAAAACAAAGTAATCAATTTCATTCCATCACGATATAACCTCTCCACATTCATTCTAGCGTAGGTGGAGGGGGGGCACAAGGGCGAGACTGAAAGATGAAAAGGGCAGCGGCGGGAAGGCGGAGGACGAGGCGCGATAGTGGAGGGGGTGGGAGAGAAGGGGGAGCGCACGATTGGATATCGTCGGCTGGAGAGCCTGGTGAACATGCCCTCCTGGTGGGAATGCGTCTCGCTCTCCTTCTTCTCGTGTGACTTAGTGCAAGAATGAACCCATTTCAAATTCTTGAAACCACCGTTGTTCTCCACATCAGCGATGAAACTGCGTCTGCCGCTGCTCCCGCCAGGCATTTCCAACCATAAGTCTAAAGCCTTATGAGCGTTAGCGCGGGGCTCTTCGGTGGTGCCCTTCCTGTGGTTCGTGGCATGGTAGCGGCGCGAGTTCTCGAAGC